GAAGCTTGGCCAATCCGAAGAGCAGTGCACAAGTGCTACTCAAGAGCAATTCCTAGAATTCTCATTCGCCACCCATCGATTCTGTATTTTGGACTTCAATTCAAAGATTATTTGTCCAGCACCACACCACAACATTTCTGTAACCCAGGGCACTGTACAGAAAATTAAAACAATAAAAGCAAAAAAACAAACAAGCAGAGATTTAATCAAAGAGATAATGACTGGACACCACAGGCCGGATATTCCAGCATCACAAAGATGTTGAGGCCTTTTTTCCCGGCCATTTTACAATAAAAGTTAAGAAGACCAAGGGAGCTTTGTGTCATCCCAGTTGTGATGACTCTTACTCATTAATGAGAGGGTGGAGTTGGAGGCTCTTCAAGAGAACAATAACCGTTTGGCCACCTTCTTTCTCTGGATTTTTATCTGATTTTTCTACACTTTTGTTTTTATTTTTCCTAATATCAGAATTTCTCTTAATGTCAAAAAGGTTGAATTCTACCTAATTTACTTTTTTAAGCCACTATGCAAATATGGTGTGAGCGCCACCGTGTGGCATCCTACTCTACATCGACAAAAGAGCCAGCTTTCATTGGTCGTTCTCCTTTGCGAAAACGAATCCAATGTGAGACCTTTAATGCTGCTCTGGAACAGCTGTGGTAAGATGCCATTGGGAACGAGCTGGTGAAGAACGCAGCGCAGGAACACCAGCGACATTCCCAGGAATCAGCACACTTTATATTGTAAGTGAATTGTAAGCATTATAATAATATCAATGATAATTCTAAATAATGTTAGGCTGGTTCTGCTAAAGTATGATGTGTTGGAGTGACTCATCTGGTGATGTGCTTCCTGTGTGAAGAATGTATTTAAGGGGGTGTCCTTTAACTTCCTGCCTCTCTTAGACTGACACAACCAGAGAATGCCATGAGAGATAGAGAGGCAGCATTGTCATGATGTAAAAAGAGTAAACATAGTGGTTTGACAATACCCCATAATAAATTATCATTCATATTTTCTGTTACAACAAATAAAGAATTTTCCCAGGATATATAAAGTTATCAGCAAAACCGAATATATTCTATTTTCTCCAGACCAACGCTACAGTTTCAATCGATCCCCTTTAACATTATTATTGTTGTTCTAATAATGACTGTCTGTGTTGCTGTGTACCACTCTATTGTGCGCCATGAGCTGCAGGATGCTGGGTGTGACGCGGCTCCAGAACTCCAAGCCGCTCAGCAGCGAGTCACTCTGGGTCTGTGTGTGTGGTTCTGTTCACAGTAGATCGTCCACAGCTGAGAGAAGATGAAGACGTGGAACAGAGAGCACATGTGCAGCACCGAGGTCTGGAGAGGATTGGTGAGAAGTAACGATGATGAGAAATGTGAGAGAAGAGGAATAGAGGAGGGAGAAAAGACAATATTAGACACAAAAACCTTTAACTGTACCCAACATTTATATATTTTCAAGTTTACAATGGTACATCGAAACAAAACCAAACATGTATAAACCGTAAGGATCAAAGCAATCGTTAATGGTTCAGATAAGAAGTCTTTAACTTTTTTTATCCACAGATAAAGAAACAGGCAATTCCTAAATTTAATAATGCTGTACTTTATTTCAACAGAGTAACAAAACAACAAAAAAAAACTTGTTCTCTAGTTACACTTCATGAAGTAATCTCCTGATACGATTTTTCAGTAGTACTGAAATGAGGCCTGAGCTTAGTTTTCAGTTCAGGTACAAAGATTGGAGTGGAATTCATAAAAAATCACTGTAAAAAACTTATTTATAAAAGTAAGAATGTTTTACGCAAAATCCCTTTGTACATTCCATTCAGTTTAAAAATGAGCGCACAGCAGCCACCAGAATGTTTGTCAACTTATATTATCATTTTGATTCTGCATTTGCGTCTGAATCGGAGCTAGAGCGATCAAATCTCTGAATGTTGTTTGATGTATGACATCATTGTGCACTGGAGTCTCTAAATGACAAAAAAGCAGAAAGGAGTGTACGCCAGACATGAAGCTTGAATGTTGATGGACACATTCCCACTTTCAATCAATATTGAGTAAATTACAATGAGAGTTGAAACATGACGCATATGGGTTTATTTCTGTTTGCTGCATTATTACCTAAACCGAAACCCAACCCTAACGTGTTTTTTGAGTTGCGTTATCTGCAGGTTGTTATAAGTTACAGTTGACTCCTTGTGTAACACAAGGGCAGATCATTAAGATACATTGTACTGTACCCGGAAGTGTGAGGTGCCAATAATCTCGAAAGGGGGCGTGGCTGGCATGGGCGTGCACAAGCTTGATTCACAATGAGATACACTTGGTTTTTATAGCCAACTTCCTCTCTAATAGGACAGCATTAGGGAGAGGAATCTTCAGCAGGCAGATGATTACTCTCAGACTGGAGTCCAATGGACACTGAGGAGGATACACAGAGAGCCAAATCATGAAAACATGAGAATAAAATGTTTCATAATATCTTAACAGTGGAGTGCCACCAAGAATAATCTCTTTTAAAAACAAATGCCTGGTGCCTTTAGTGAAACATGGTGATGACAGTGTCATTATGTGGGGCTGCAGGAGTGATGAATTTTATTGATTGTATCAACAATGTTCTGCTTTATACTGAAGGAGAAGACGCTGCTACGTGTCTCCTGATCTGAAACCAATCGAACACCAGCAGGGAATTCTGAAGCGACAAGTTGAGCATTGCTCTCCATCCAGCACCAGGCTCTAAAAGAGGTTCTTCTTGAAGAATGGAAAAAGATAGAAGCTGCAGTATGTCACCAACCTGTTCATTCCGTGCCTGGAAGACTTGGTGCTATCCTCAATAATCATGGTGCTCACACAAAATACTACATGTAGTGTTTGTTGGGGGGGGGGTGTATTTTTTTGTTATCACCACTTTGAGTAAAACTGAAGAAGTTACATTATTAACCTTAATTCCATATTATGGCAAGTGTAATATAAGTGTCCTATAAAATGCTCATGCATTTAACTGATTAAATTCATGCTTTTTAAAGGGGGTGCACTTATTTATGCTCCGCACTGTATATCCCCATGGACTAGGAGGCTCAATTTGGGCATAGCCAACCGTATACACACATGGTGTCCACAGACAGATGTTGAGGAAGCAAAGAACCCGAGTGGCTGAAGGCCAGGATATATTTTATTTCTGTTGCACACTGTCAATAGGTATCTGTTCCCTTCTGACACCTGCCACATGTGGTCAGTTGATGAACTGCAGCTTTAGTCACTTATTTTACGCATCAGGAGGGAAAGTGAGAAGTATGTGTGCGTTCCAGTCACCTTGATGGGCAGAGTGGCAGGGAGTCTGCCAAGCAATGTATGGAAGCTGGCACAGATGGTGCTCCACAGGTTGCTCGGTGCTTCCATGGGCAGAGCCTCCATAAACACAGACATGTTCTCCAAACAGTGCAGCATGGCCCCGCCCACAGGAAGTGACTTCTTACTGTTCAGACCCTGCAGACACATGAAGAGGTACCACTTGAACCACAAAGAGCTACCCCGTACAAACTAGCTTAAACTAGCTATGAAGTGTTTTAAGCTGGATTGGCTTGGTTCTGAACTCCCATAAAGTTTTTATGAACTTGTTTAAGCTTAAACCAACAATGAAAGGGTTTGAGGTAGTCGGATATAAAAGCCTATCGTGAAGTGATGTGTTTAAGTGATTAAAATATTTATGTTACAGAACGTTTTTAGCTGAAAGTTAAATGAAATCTGGATTCACAATCAAACATTTTCACCTTGATATGCGCTAGAACACCGGTTATGAGCTAGAATACTGGTTATACAATAGTAGAACAATAACACCTTGATCCGACTTAAACTGGTTATGAAAGATGACCAACATGTGAAACACACACACACTTACCTCTAGCAGCTGACTAAGGGCTGCCACTGAGCTCAACTCATTGAAGTCAATCAGAGACAAGGCCAAAGTCCTGAGGAAACTACCATCTGAAACAAACAGAAATGGAATCATGTCAGAAACCAAAGAGTTTTGTGTCAACAAGCAAATTAACCCTTAGGAGTCTCTGCACGCACCAGTGCATGTGCCAATCACAGCGGCTGTTTTGAATTAAGTGGGATTGATGTTGATTCAGAATATAATGTGTAGATTTCAAAAATTTTATTACTTTTGATATTTTGGGAATTTCATGTGGCCTTGTTTAGAGCGGTCAAATGACAGTCATTCACATTTCTAGAACAGACGTAACATGAAAGAGTGCACCAGTACTACCAGTGTTATGGTAATCTCTCTGAAACTCTATCTGCTGGAGCCAGAGTTTGTTCAAGTGCCTGACGCTTTCACCATTGAACACAGATAAATGTAACCTTGTGAATTCAAAGCTTATCACAACAACATGTATACTACACACAGAGAGGATTTTATGTATTTATGTCATTTATGTACTTTTCTCAAACTTTGAGGCTAAATTATTCTCACTAATCATTTAAAATGTAATAGTTCACAAAATGCTAAAGTGGTCAAATGCACATTAATTTGCTTTTCTTGGTAAAGTGAGCGGCTGTTGTGGTCAATGGTGCACATTAATTCCAGTTTTACTGTAATCTTTGAAATTATGAATAATGTTGTTTTTACGACAAAATGATGTAGTTTTTATAACTTATTATGTCATTAAATTCAGTGGGAAAAATGAATGTACATGTGTGGTAGCAATAAGTTACCATCGTTTCTCAATTCTAAATCACTGTCTAACGGTTAAGGAATGGACCTTTGAACACACAAAAAAGGGGAAAAAAACATGCATCCTGGTGACTATAGTTAAAGGTTTTAGCTGGAAAAAGATCCTCCAAAAGATCACAGCAGGAACTCATGCAATGAAACAGTTTAAATATGAATAATATCTTAGAAAATGAGAGTGTTATAGATTTTATCTAGACGATTCTACAACAAGAAATGTTATTTTAGAGATTATACCCCTTCTGGAGGAATGCCCTGACTGGGAATCGAACCCTGGTCTCCCACATGAAGGGCGTCAGTGTTACCACTATACTATCGTACATATAGTGTTACAGCTTTACTCAGACTTTACATAATAATCAGGTTTGACCAAAATACCAAATTAAAGTTGTGTAATTTGGGATTTGAACTCTGGTCTCCCATGTGAATGGTGGCAGTGTTACCACTACACTATCCTCCATATAGTGTTACTACTTAACTCAGACATTACATAATGTTTGACACAAATACCACATATAGATAAAGTTATGTAATTTTATAGTTTGAACATGTAGTTCACTGTCATTTAAAAATGGTCATACATATATGTATAGTGGTAATATATGCATAGTATGGTATAGCAGTAACACTAGCTGTAGGATAGTATAGTGGTAAGAGTAGGGGTCCTTACGGCAAGGGGGAGCCAGGACGCCAGGTCAGTGGGGAAATCATCATCCCACCCCCACCAGAGACCAAGCCCCAATGAGCAGGCCAAAAATGTAGAATTCTATATTCTAGAATTATAGATTAGTATAAATGTACTGTACTATTAGTATAAATGTATAGATTTTTTTAGTCACTTATTAAAAAGTCACTTACTAAAAAGTTTAGTTAAATTAAACTTTTTAATAAGTGGCCTAACAAGTAAAAAGTGACTTAATAAGTAATAAGTTTTAATATATTTGACCGTTTTTAAATGACAATAAACTAATAAGTGACTTTTTAATAAATGACTTTTAAAAAAAAT